TTTCGTGATTTTATTGTAGATTAATGATTGTGTTTACTATAAGGGAAGACCTTAATATCTGTTCAGGGAATTTCAGCTTAAGATGCTTTGACAAGGCATAGCTTTCTCCAAGTAGTCTCGACACTTTATGTACACGGCTTTTAAACAAAAAATGAAGAATTCTACTGTATTTATTATACAATAGCTGATAATCGAAGCTTTAAGGTTTATAAAAAAAGTAAAGGAGGTCAAATTCTATTTTAAATGCGGAAGAAATTAAGTGTAGAATCGAAGGGAAATCGGAACATCAAAATTAGTCTGGATTTTCTCCGGAACAATCATTACTTTTGACCGTCCGCAGTAGAATGTTTATGGAAATGAAAATTCCATGGGCAGCAAAAATTAAAGCCTCGAAATCGGTTGAGTAGCTGGACCGTCATTGTGTTAATTGTGTCCAGATGCACCGCTGGTAAAATAAGAAATAGGCATCCACTATATTCAACAAGACAATATGAAATCCTCACTGAACACGCAACGAATTGCATATTTATGAAATTCAAGTTTCTCGGGGTTATTTTTAGCGTTGCATAGGTCGGATTGTATTTTAGCTTTTTGCGCTTAACTTCGCTCTCCTCTCACCATATAAAAGAAACAGCATAAACAAAGCTAAATGAACGCAATTGAAAAATTGACTTTTCTATTTTTGCTGATAATTATACTACATTGATTATTCAACACCTATGTTATTTGCATACATAGTGGAAATACATCAAAGTAATGAAAATAAGCCAAAAAGTTACTGAATGTGGCTAAAAATGGACGAGTCGATATGGCTGGTTCGAAATTTTCGGTAGAGTTTTTCAAGACAGTCATAGCATTAATCTTAACGTTGTTTCTTAAAGAATGAACATTTTTGGACTTCTTAAACTGAGGGAAAACAATTAGGAAACCCACCGTTTTGAACTCAACAGCAAACATCTGTCAATTCGCTTTCTCTAGGATAGTTTTTTTTTTTATTCACTGATAACCCACTGAGACCTACCGTTGCAAGTATTGTTTCAAAAACACACGCCGCCGAGACTCCCTGGGAAAGTGTTTGATAAACTTGAATATAAAGAACTTAGTTTATCAAAATAGAATCTGTCAGTTTCTCACGAGAATATAAAATTTCCAGCGCCTGAAAACAAAAAAGGATGATTGAACTTTCTTAGCACACATCCACCGGATGGTTAAATTAGTTAGATATGTGAGTATATTAAAAAACGTACGCTATATTTGATTAGCCTACCAGAAAACACAAATATTGACGCAGTATTTGACGTTAGAACCTTTCTTTTTATCATCTTAAATACAAAAACTGAAAATGCATTTACACAATCAAAGAACCTCCTATTTTCAAGTTGTCACGAAGACAGATGATAAGCCTTTGACCTTTTTTGCCACTGCAAATATACTCTTGATTGCAAAAACTTTCATACCTATAAAACGTGACCCAACGGCTTTGAGGGAAATTTTCGCTAGGTTAAATAATCAGTGTTTAAGGTGGCTGAACACAGTTTTTGATAACTGTGTTTCTTTCACCATTTTCTCTAACACCCTTAATCTCTCGGTCGCCAAAACTGGCAGCAAGCAAGTTAACAACGCAAACGTTGTTTTTTCGATAGTTAAGCTGACGTATGTGCCGTTGCCATGGCGGCATGAATAAATATAAACAGGCCATTAAAATCGGTTTTGTGTATTTGTAGAGAATCTAGTCATTAGATTTTCTTTATAATTTGCATGCAACGAGCTTGTAAAGATACTCACAAGTTAACACCATTTTGCTAACAGTTTAAGAGAGAGATCTTAAATTATCTCTTGTTGAAGGTTCACTCGATTATCTAGAATTTCCTTTGTTAAAAATAATTTTTTTTCATTGCTCTAGTTACTTATTTCCTAAAGCATTTTTGCTCCAGATTTCGTGGAATTCTAATGAGTGGTTCTCAAGAAATCGGGATATTTCCGAGCAAGCAATTTTCCATTCAATCGCAATTTTTTTTTTCTTACTACGCATGCGCTGCATTTAACTTTTCGTCGGTAACGACGAAAAAGCTGAGAACTGCTGGGTTCTTTGCACCGTTAACTTTTCTTAAATGTCTTTGTAATAAAAGACTAAAGCTATCAATACACTGCGCCAGCTATAAAGAAAAATAGCACAGATATTGCGGATACGTGTTGAGTAAATAAAATGATCGCTCTATTGACAGCATGTAAGTTTTATTGCAATCCTTGTGCGCGCGCTGAATTGCACCAGCAAAAGCGTGCGCAAAAACTGGGTTCGGCCAAGTCAATTATTCATTGTCTTTGGCCAATCTTTGTATATGTTAATTATTTTCTTTCGAGAAAGCGAGGAAGGGTTCTATTGCTTACCAAGTGCAACTACTGTGGTTATCAAGTACGCGTGTTCCCATAAAGCCATTAGGTCTCAACGCTTTTGCAATGGAGTTTATTCTGATCATAACGAGCTCGCAGTTCAAGATCTAGGTCTTCTCGACGGGAAAGTTATTTACTTATGCTCTGTTGCTTGAGACTTTTATCTTCTCACCATTTCAGTCCAGTACACAACTGCTGATAATATATAAATTCTTTCTGGCACCTAATTTTCATTAGCAATCTGAAACAATCAAACACTTTCCACGGTATGATGTTTATATTTCATATATACAAACTGAGATTTTTTCTTACTGAAGCGAACGACTGTGAAAATACATCGTTCGTCCAGTCAGAGACGCGAACGTACTTCACAATGTAAATCTCAGTCGGTATGAAGTAAATGAGGAAGTTGCGCTGACGTGAAAACAAGCAGACACAACTATCTACACATGTTGTGTTTGCACAGGTAGCCCAAGCTCTCTATATGAACCACACAAGAAAGACAATATGGCATATCGATTTATAAGGTTTTGTATGGGATTTTCTACTAGATATCCATGGAGGTAGCCGCTAAAAGTGAAAATATTAAAAAAAAAAAATGGCTTACCTTATTTCATACGTGTTTTGTTTGCTCCTGGTGTCGTTATTTTACTGATTTAACTTGATTTAAGCCATTTTTTTAATCCTGGTTTTCTCTCCTTAAAGAGAAGAGAAGGTTGGAAACCATGGCGGTGGACTACCTGAGATATGTTCTCAGTGTTCGGGGCAAAACATAAAGCTAGAACGTTTCAAATCCCCTCAAACTGCCCCTCCGCCATGCTCGATAATCGTCCTAGATAGCCAACCGAAGGAAAATACTCAGTACCCAATGTACGAAGAATAATTTTCCACGAAAGTTCTATTTCGTCGCCCTCAACTTTTATCGATTGAGGCTTGGATCAATAAGCCGTGCCACCAACTGACTCCGAAGTGGGTTCGCTAGGTATTCTGTGGTCAGTTTTCAAGATGGCAACTACTTCCCCGCCCTCCCCTAGGAAACAGTTAGAGAGCAGTTAAGAATGTGATGTACTGATTTACATTGCATAAATTTTGATGGCTGCGGTGTTGGCTTGAGGCAGGCCATACTAGCAGATATATTCTTCATTTCCTCCATGAATTACAGTGCATGAGCGTGTGTTTTGTTTGTAGGTTTACAGAACCTAGGGGAAGGCTGGGAAGTAGTTGTCATCTTGAATGTTTTGACCCCAGAATACCTAGCGAACCCACTTCGGAGTCGGTTGGTTGCACGACTTATTGATCCAAGCCTCAATCGATAAGAGTTGAGGGCGACGAAATGGAACGTTCGGGGCAAATTATTCTTCGTACATTGGGGACTGAGTATTTTCCTTCGGTTGGCTATCTAGGAAGATTATCGAAGATGGCGGAGTGGCAGTTTGAGGGGATTTGAAACGTTCTAGCTTTATGTTTTGGCCCGAACACTGAGACCATATCTCAGGTAGTCGACCGCCATGGTTTCCAACCTTCTCTCCTCTTTAAGAAGAGAAAACCAGGATTCAAAATAATCGCTTAAATCAAGTTAAATCGGTAAAATAACGACACCAGGAGCAAACAACACACGCATGGAATAAGGTAAGCCATTTTTATTGAATATTTTCACTTTTAACTACCTCCATGGATATCTAGTAGAAAATCCTATACAAATCCTAATAAATCGATATGCCATATTGTGTTCCTTGTGTGGTTCATATAGAGAGCTTGGGCTACCTGTGGTGATTGTTGTCTATGTTTCCGCTGCTTCTGAATCCCCTCTCCCAAAAATTGGGATGCCTAAGAGTTCATGTGTGGCAACTTATGTTCAATGAGTAGCACTAAATCTTTTACTGCCTTCAACTAAAATAGTATGAAATTAATGATGCTCAAAAAAAATCTTCCCGGCAAAGGAAGGGGGGGGGGTCGTCTCTTTGGTGCATGGTGCGTAAGGGGTTCGTGTCTCTCACCCCCCCTACCTAATTTTAACGTTTCACTACCCCTCCAAATACAAATATACTAAATAAGGGTTTGTACTTATTGACCTCTTGGAGCCCCGCTTAACATATTCATGAATTCCACAGGCAGCATCATACCCATGACATTACAGCGTGTTACAAACAGAGAGGGAAGGAGACTGATAAATTCACGCTCTACCGACTACCTCTTTTAAACATTGTTACAATGAAGTTAGTTTCCTGTGAATTTTATCTTTCAGAAACCGGAACTTGAAAGGAGTAGTAGCCGGCTACGATATTGGGAGCGCTTTGATAAAGATGATGTTCGCTACCTGCATAATTATAATTGTAATGCTCTGCAGACCAGCTCTAACGAAAATAGCAGGAGGTCAAAATCGATCTTTAGGATGTCCGCATACTCGTCGACAATTTACGGTCTCAATGCTTGTGGTTCCCCCGTATGCCTTTCCTTCTGATTCAGGAGAATTAGTGGGCGTATTAGGTGATTTTTTCGGTGACATCATCTACAAATGTTTTCTTCGACATTGTCGGTTGCCTGAGGACACCTTCAAAATGAATTTTATCAATTCGACCGAAGAATTCCAAACGATACTTCAAAATGATATGACGGATTTCGCTCTTCCAGTGTCAAAGGCGATACAGATACTTCTTCTTCCTGAAGAACATTATGAAAACCCAGTCATGATGACTGAGAGCATCACCAGTTCTCCCGGCTTTTCGCTTATCATGGACGTAAGAAATGTGAATATCAGAGCCAACAAAGCCGCAATTATCAAATTATACACGGAATCTTGGCCTATAACTGTACTTGCATTTGCACTCACTGGAATTTCTGGAATGTTCATATGGGTCCTGGTACGTATCATCTATTTCCCGAACTATCTGAATAAATCACAATTTTGCGCGGCCATGATAAACCGTGATTCAAAAGCAAGCTTCTATGCAAAACGGAATTGCAACTTATGGGAGGTATTATAGAAATCCTTTCACTTTCTTTCCCCACCTCTTTCTTTAAAGAAAATACCTATAGGCGATCTTCAAAATGTATGATAACAAAGCCAAACCCGCTTTACAAGCAGTGTTTCGGCTCTGTAAAGTCCCCTGCCAACCAGTACGGGGGAGATGAGAGAAGATGCAGGAGACGGGACCCACGGTTTATCGTCCTCATTTGAGAAGACTAGAGTATCTAACCATTTCCGGTCGAGGGCTTTAACCCTAGACCTCATGTGCGCACGGCATTCCGGCGATCAACAACATAAGATAACCGGTTTTTGTTTGATTCATCTTCTTTCAGGAAACGTATTTCAACTAAGAGGAATTTCCCCGTTCATTTGTTAAGGGTTCTTACGAAGGCTTTTGGTGGGCATTTGTTACAATGACAACAGTTGGGTAAGATAAAAGTTCTCTATGGAGGTTGACACTGGCAGTTATAGTCATCAACTTTATTCAGCATTTCATAATTCTTTTGAAGCCAATCTCCTCTCTCAAACCAATCACCGACTCAAAAGGTCCAAAGGGGTTGGCCGCTGACGCCCTTGGATGAATTATACAATAATAACATTGATTTTACAATGGGTTTCAGGCGGTTTCTTGAGAGTAAAGGCTGATAGTTTCGAAAGAAACTGTTTGGGGCTGCGTCGGTGGGAGTAACGAAATAATTTGGATATATCAACAAAGTTGAAGTGGTAAATTGGCCGCCGTAACGATTCCAAAAGCTGACGTTTCGAGCGTTAGCCCTTCGTCGGAGCGAATAGAGGAATTCAATCAATATCAATCAATACTTTATTTACCCACGTAGC